AACATGAATAACTTTTTAACTATTGAAGTTACAAAAATAATTTTTACATATTTATATATCATTTAATAAGCTTATTTTATTTTGTTAATTTCACCAAATTATATTGACAATTTGTAATCCCTTGACATCGTGTTTTAGACACAATGTATGCAGTCATTTCGTAAGACCTTCCAAAGAATCCAAAGATCGGTCAGAGGAAAGGGATAGCAGACGGAAAATCTTGAAGATTATATGAGTGACAGTCACTACTCACTCCTTTCATACAGAATAATGCATAGCTTATTTTGTAACGACTGACAACTACAGTACCACTTTTTTCTATCAATATTTCTCAATAGAAATATCATTACATCATACATTGAATTTGTGGGACAGGTATGATCTGGATTGGTTAACGTCAGAATAGGGGACGCCTACCACCAAAATTAAGAATAAGATAACTTATGAAATATTTCTTATAAAAACCAGAATCAGAATCAAAGTTTCACCAAAAATTAATAGACAAAGTTTTCTCAACTAATAATAAAGCTAAATAACTACTCAAAATAAATCTCGCATGTAAAACTAAAGCTATTTTTATATAATAATTAAGCAATGGCTTACATAAAAAGAGATCCCTTTCCCATCAGTGGTCTAATAAAGTCAAATAAGGACAAGATCCAAACAAATCTGGATGACTTTAGTAACTCTAAAGTCGAGTCAAAGTTTCATGAATTGAAGCATGAATTGAATATTAACGGTAAATACAAAAAGATTTTATTTGTATAAACTAATTCTCGTTTGTATTACTAGATGACTACTCTATAAAACTAAACGAGTTTAAAGAGAAAGTCTTTCCTCGACTCTGGGAACTGTTGTCGACTACCAGTACTACCAGTGCTCTAATGCTGTTACAACTCATTCTCTACAACGACTATAAGACCCAAAAATCACAACTAATTAAGAGTGCTTTGAAGGCATCATTGGTCCCCCAATTGGTTAACATTTATGAGACAACTCGTGACATACAAACTAAACAACTGGTTATTAACCAGTTTTCCGTATTCTGTCTGTCGTTTGAAAGTAATCCAAAACTCCGTAAACATGTCCTCAATAACAATGTAGTCATCGATTCAATATTAAGGTGAGTGTTGTATGAATTTAAATAATTTTTACATATAATAACTATTTTTATAATGTGTTTATTATATAAAATAAACATATATTTTTGGGAGTAATTCTAGTCAAACGGATGCCGCAACTGATAGCAACGAATTCATTAAGGATTCACTTCTAACAATCCAATGCTTAATATACTATTCGCCAAATTTTGAGACATCTCAAGTGTTGTCCCCTTTAATGAATTTATTAAAACATAAGGACTCTGTCATTATCAGCGAATCCTGTTATGCACTCTTCATATTCAGTGAACGGTTCCCAAAATCGCGACAATTATTAGTCACATCCAATGCAATGAAAAAAATACTGAACCTATGGGTGGATAATATTGATAAAGAACTCATAGTTAAGCCTATATTCGGTTTAATTACAGGCATTTTAGTCCGTTTGCCACAAC